CATTCTTAAATCCTCTAAATTTTTATCTATACATCTGTACATCCACCTGTGATCAAAAAACTATAATTTAAAATTTTTATCATCATAATAAATAGAGTTTAAAGTAGGAGCAATAGAACTAATATATGTTAACCAAGAATTACATGAAAATAAAGAAATGAAAATCTTTTTAAAAATAAATCATATATCTCAATGAAACAAAAAACTGTTTTTTTGTTTTTTTTTTTTTTGAAAAAATCCATTGTTTATTTCTATTGATCCTATAAATCATTGTAAAAAGAAAAGAAAATAAGAATGGGGAAATTTAAGGGAGGAAATAGAGTTTTGAAAAAGAAATATGAATGAAAAAAAATACTTTTAGATGAAAATTTTGAAGAAATCTGAAATGGAAAGAAGTAAAGAAATGAGTTTTGGATGGAATTATATTATGTTTTCAATTCTACATCAAGTATCTTACAATATCTATTACGTTTTCAATTCTACATTAAGTATCTTAAAATATAAATAATTGACCTAGTTTTATCCATTTATTTAAATGGATGTTTTTTATTTGTTTATTTAATTTGATATTTAAAAAATTGAATTAAGAATAATATTTTTAAGTCATTAAACTAAAATTTTTAAATAGTAATTCATGCATACTCTTATCAATTTCAACAAATTTGAATATTTTAAATGGATTTGAATATACTAAATAAAGTAACTAATCACATATCCTTTTATCCGTTATCAAAGTAATATTTAAATATTTTATTATTATTTAATGATTTACTTTAAAAGTTTTTTATATTTGATTATTTTGATAATATATAATATAATTATTTATTATTATCCTATGTATCATAAAAAAAACTATCCACCTAAGGGTTCATGTAAATAAATTTTATCAGATTTTTATATATATTGTAATATAATATTATATATGGTTAACAAAAAAATATAAATTAAATATTTTTATTTATATTTGTATTAATCATATTATTGTTTATATAACCATTTCAACTTCCAAAAATTTACTTTTATATATAGTTAATAGAATGAAATTTAGGGTAGAAGATAAAATTAGCATTCAAACATTTTATTTCCTATTTGGTTTTGAATCTCTCTTCTTAAAAAAGTATAATTAAGTATAAATGTGATTTTTATGCATTATATCACTTGTTTATAATAATAGTGTAGATACTTAATTTTAATCAAAATTTTTTTAGTCAATATTTGTCATCGGGCTTATTTAATTAAAACTCAAACTCATTTTACATGAGATTTTGAAGTTTAGATTTACATCTGTGCAAAATTGACTAATTTTTAAAACTTTATTGCTAAATATTTTTTAATAATTTAGATTTTGATTGGATTGGATTTAATTTTAAAATTTGAGATTGAGTCCCAAAATTTAATATTATTTTTAGCAAATGATTTAAAGTTAATAATTTTATTTTGATTAAAGCAATTATTGTTTATGAATCTAGTTTTATGTTTTTTTATAATGTGTCCCATTTGTTCGACTCCGCTTTAATAAATTATGAAATGGAAAAAAATATTTACCATTCGTTTGAGCGTCAAATGCCAGGATTATGTTTTAGCATCAACATTTAATTTTTATAATATTAATGTTGTAGCTTTTAGTAAAACCGAAATTATACCAAACCATGGGGCAAGCTGAAAACTTAGCTTATCTCATTTTGTAACAGAATCTAATTACAATTCAGTTGGTCAATGGTTGAATGAAAAAAAAAAAAAAGAATGGTTGATATAATTAAGTAAAATAAGGTTCATATATACTTTTATTAATTAGCTAGATAGATAGATTTAGTAAATGTTGTGACTCTATTTTATGAAATGAGTTGTTTTATTATTATTATTTTTTAGCTTTTAGCAATTAGAACATTTATGCTCGAATTATTTATTTTTTCAGACAATGTAATATAGATGGAAAAGATAAATATATATATATATAATGGTAATTCATCAAGTGCAATGATTTTTGTTATATTTATGTCTAAATCATCCTAATTAAATAGTTGTGAGATTTATTTTATCATCAAATCCATATATTGTCCTACATATAAGAGAGTGTTCCACTAAAGAAAAAGTAAAACTCACACGTGTTAAATTGAAGCAACTTGAGCACATAATTGAAGTTATGTACTCATCCTATTTATTGTCAATTAATTAGTTTTAAGTTAAATGTTCATTTAAAATTTAATATAATATCAAAATAAGTATTTTCTTATTCGTTAGCTTCTTTATGATAAATTTATTATGCTTACAATGTGAAATTTATGTCACATGATAAAGATTATTATATTTACAAACATGAAGTTCAGGCCACATGATAAATCCATTATGTTACACATGAGAGAAAATATTATACTTAAAATAAAGTAAATCTCACATATATTAAATTGGAAGTATTTTGGACACAAAAGTATAACAATAATCACTCTACTTGTTATTAATTGATTTTAAATTGGATGTTCATCTAAAACTTAAACAAAAAAATTTATTATCTAAAATTTATAGTTACATTATATATTTTCTTTCTTTTCTGTTTAATATTTAAAGAAAAACATTTTTCATTTAGGTTCGATCCGATTGATATTTTGTTATTTTAACAAAGTTTTCTACGATAAACATAATAAAAGGTGATTTGAGTTAAAGAAAATTGTTAGGGGCTTTTGCATGTATTGTGTAAAATTTTTTTTTTCTAATTTTGATTTAAATATATCTCTTTTCAAAGAGAGAACTCGTAACAAATAAGAGTAAACACTTTTTTTTTTGAAGTAAAAAGTAGACACAACTTTTCATCACATGTAACATGTAAATCCTGTGAGTTTTATTATTTTGAATATTTTCTAGCAGCTGGTATACGCTTATTTTGCTCTCCCTTAAGCAGGGATAAGCACTACGCTCTTATTTCGCTAAATATAATATAGCATGGCTGAAATGCCCTTCTCTTACGGATTTTAATCAGCAGCTCCATTTAGTTAAAATTGATTGGGTATTTAGGCTGCTTATTTGGAAGAAACAGTCCCCAGTGTCTTTCAATTTCGTCGCCCCGTTTGTTATTCTCATCAAACATGGCAAAAATATAAGTTTCTATAGGCTTTCCAGGCTTCTTTGGAGTACCTCCTTTCACATGCTGGATCAAATTCTGGTTATAAGTTCTTGCATTATCAATATTGGCTGCTGCCCGTGCCCCACCTCCAGCGGATGGCCATCCACTCTCCGACACAACAATCTCCAAAGAAGCGCCACCAGCCTTGTCCAGGGCAGCGTAAACAGCATCCAAGATGGCATCAAAAAGGTTACGGTATTGCAAGGGAGGATCTGAGACGACAGGATTTTGAGATCTGAACAGAGCATAATCCAGGTTGATAGCCGGGTTGCCATCGTAGCTGAAATAGGGGTACAAGTTAACAAGTAATGGGGCTTGGTTGTTCACCAGGAAGCGAATGATGGGATCGAGAAGTGGCCTGTATTCAGACCTAAAAGACCCCTTTGATGGAGGAAAAGATTCTCCCAGCGTCCCTGTGTCGATTGCTGTGGAAACTTTGATTTGGTTCCCTAGGCCAGCTGCAACAATTGCATTGCGAATGTTTTGCATGGCAGGGACTAGAAATCGTGCCACCGGATCCGAAGGTTTGACTTCATTTCCAACAGCAATGTAGCGGAATTTAACGTTGCCATAGTTTCTAACATTGTTCTGGACCCAAGTGTTTGCATTGGCTTGATTGGCAGCGACACGCTGAAGATCGGTATTTGGAACCCCTAGCATCAGCTCAATGTTGGAGCCTCCGAGAGCTCGGAGAGCAGCTTGGTCTGGATCATAGAGTCTCATTCTTCTGATGTTTCTCTGGTTGAAGAGAGCTATAACTTCTGGCCTTGGTGGTAAGTTGTTGCCAAGCATTCCATAACAAACACCTATTTGAGCACCTGCATTAGATGTAACAAGAGCTTAAAAATAAGAATGTGTTACATCAACAAATTATGCCACTAGTGCAACCAAACACAGGAATATGTCCACAATAGCTATTCCTTTCCATAAACTATAATAACTATTCCTTCATATTCCTACCTCATTCTATTATTACAAAATTTTAAGTTTTATTCCATTTAATGTACCACACCTACTTTAATATATGTGGATTGAGCTCCTTTCTATCATTTTTGTGTTCATTATTTTTAGTGCACTTGTTATTATCATCATTCATGTAGGATTCAATCATGAATAGTAGAATCCATACTTATAAATGTGATTAAAAATGATTTTTTAGATAACGAAGAAAACCGGATTACTGGACCATTAATATTATTTAGAGAGAGAGAGAGAGAGAGAGAGAGAGAGAGAGAGAGAGTACTTGAGATATCTAGGGATGCCATTAGCAGGCCAAACAGCAGCAATGTTGAAGCCATAAAACCAAAGTTACCGGCTAAATAGGATTTCCCCATGAGAGACATAGAGAGACGGTACAAAAGAAAAGTGAAGAATTGAAGGAAGGCCGAAACTCTATTGCCAAAACCCCTACTTTCTAGACCTTATATAGACATGAAAAGGATCCCCACCACTTACATTTTCCAAGTGAATTAATTGCTCCATGGAAAATTATGTCACGGAAAAAGAAAAAAACAAAATCTTCCACTAACACCATCTAGATTTCGTCATTCAACTGGACCTTCTCTTAGTAACCTTCCAAAAGTCTTGGTCCTCATAGATCGGGAAAATTCAACTGCGGCTTGTGCCAGTTCCTTTCGCACGATAGTCAACTAGTCTTCTAATTTAATTCTGGCCTATGGGTTCACATTAAAAACGAAGGAGTAAATTTTTTTTTTTTATTGCTATGCTTACACGAATTACATTAATTCATTTTGAGCCTTTCTACAAATGGAATTACTATTAGCTAGCAAGTAGCTTACACAAAGTAACACCACTTTTTCTTTTATTTATTATTATTTAGGTAAGAGACCAACGATCTTGAATCTTCAAATAAAAAGGACAAATATTAAACCTAATATTTGGATAAAATGACTCCAATTTTTATGTTCTTGACTTCCATGACTATGACGTGGATATGGGAATTCTCCGACTTCTTTGACCATAATTTCGGCACAAATTTCTATGCACTATTCATATACTGTTAGTATAATGATTTGCAGTGTCATGTATTGTTAGTATCGTAATATCACTGTTTGTACAATTTATATCTATCCATTTGCAACAATTTCATTCGAGCAAAATAAACAAATAAATATATTTACTTTTTACCAAAATAAATAAAAGAAATACATCCGTATAATTTCCACTATATTGATTTAGTTGCTTTTTTTAATGGTAGAAAGCTTTGAAAGGTTAGTTTTTCAAGCAAATATTTCTTTGTATGAAATGAAAATTTTTAAAACCTTTTCCGAAATTAAATTATACATAAAATCTAATATCAATGGGCTTGCACATGATCAATGAAACCAATTTCAGTAGATTTGATCAAAATTTTATTAATTTTTATATATTTTTAATTTGTTTATTAAAATTTGATACATGATATGATATAATAATTATATCATATATGTTGAAACAAGAACACATTATCTATAATGAGTATATTACAATTAATCAATTACAATTCAAAATTATACGAGGATGATTAAAATTTTATATAAAATTCACACTTATAAATAATAAACTCTTACATAATTTTTTATTATGATTAGATAATTATAATATTATAATAAATAATTATAGGTAGAATACTCCAAATTGAAATTGTTTGATAATATATGATATAATAATATATGTTTTTACTTATAAATATAATTTTTTTCTATGAAATTAAAAGTATAAGTTATAATTATGATAAGTATGAAAAGGAATCCATTTATACTAGATAACTCTTACACTTTTTTGAACTCTTGAATCAAAATTATTAAATTTAAAAATATTATTTTCATTTAAATGAGTCATACATTTAATTTTGATAAAAAAAACTCAAAAAAAATTACACTAATATAAATGAATATTCACTCATCAAATATTACGTAATTAAAAAAATTCAACATAATATTGAAATAAATTCACACAATATAATTTGGATCTAAAATTTTAAAATTCTAAAATCTTTTTCTTACTACTAAATCAAAAACTCATTGGCCGCTTGTAAATATAATCTTATAAAATCTTAAAATTCTAAAACATTTTCCTTACTATTAAATCAAGAACTGATTGGCCGCTTGTAAATATAATCTGGTACTAGCCTAAGGGGCTATGAATAGGCAAAGGATGTGTCTCAAGGAGCGCCATGCAACTTGAGTGCCTAACCGTCTCACTCGACCGAGCTAGTATTGATAAGACCCCAAGATTATTCACTTCGATGCATACTAAGTCAAGAATTTATTTTCTATAATTTTTTAAAGAATTTTTAAACTCCACAAAATGGAGTTAAAAAATTGATAAATGTATCTTTTTTGTTACATTAATTTTTTAATTATTTTGAATATATCTTAAAAATATGTCAATTCTTTTATACAAAAAAAGTTATAAACTAGAAATGAGAAAAATATTTATAAGTGCTAAAATTTGAACTTTAGATCTATTGGATACCAACTCTTAAAAATAATTATATAAATCAATCGAATTAAGTTTCAAGTTCTATGTATTATTTTGCTAATCTCTCTTAAAGAGTTTAAAAACTTTATTGGTGGTGAATGAAATAATTTTTCATTAAGTTAATTCCTTGCTTTTTTAAACTACTGATATATGATAGATTGATATTTAAATCTATTAGCATGATTTTGAGCTTAACATTTAGAGGTTACGAGTTTAAAAAAGCATATACGTGTAATGTTCAATATAAGAGTAAGGGGTTTAAGGGTAGATTAAAAATTTTTTTAAAAAAAATACAAGTGCATGATTATGTGCCAGCTCACACAATAAATATGTAATTTTTTAAAAATGTGTTAATAATATATTTTTACATTATAATTATAAAATATAAATAATTTTTTAATTAATAAATGATTTATCAATATAATTTTACATCCTTTAATATTATAAAAATTAACTGTGTAAAATTTAAAAAATCTCGTGTTAAAACAAAATATTAATTATAAAGTCAAAATTTTCATCAAAATAAATTAAAATATGAAAAAAGTATTAACCAATCTTGAATATCTTTATAGACATTCTATTTTGTCTGAAATTTTTTTAAAATTTATTGGGCCTTGATTTTTTATTTTGATTGTGCAATTGGGTTTAATCAAAAAAATAATTTTTGGACCTAAAGATTAAGTCATAAATTTTATTTATATTTTATTTTTTTAGTCAAAAGAGTCTAAGTCAATTGGTAAAAAATAAAAAAATAAAAAAAGAGTAAAAAATAAATTAAAAAAAAAGTGAGATTTTGCATGAAAAATCTTGGATTCAATTCAACTCTTGGATTCTATCTCAAATTTCAACTTTAATGATTGAATAATTTTAAAAGAACTTTGAGCTTAATCTATTGAAAAATAAAAAATAGAAATCTTAGATTCAGTTGAATTAATTTTTTTCACATTGAAAGGAATTCAATCTTTATATAAGGACCTTAAATCTAAGATCAAAGTAGGGGGCCTTACAGTAATTGACTTCAAAATCAAACAAAAGGTCATTGAAAAGAGAGAAAATTTGGGCAAAGTTTTGAATCAATAAGGAAGAAGCAATCAAGCAAAAAAATTTTACAAGAAGATCAAATTGGAGTTTTTGAAAGGAAGACTAAGATTTATAATAGGAAGTATTAGTTTTTTAAAGGTAAAAAATTGTTGAAACATGTGATCCATTGAAGTAATACTTGCATTCTTTTTTTTTTTTTGTGATTTTTACATAACTTTTATAATATTTAATTGCTTACTTTTATTTAATATTTATTACATGGTATTCATTTTTGCATGAATTTGCATGACTAATATTATATTTGCATGATAATTTATTTGCTTAATATTTTATTTGTATGAATTGAATCTATTTGTGTAATTTATTAATATATTTGCGTGATATTACTTTTACTGATTATTTATTTGCATGGATTATCAATTTATTATTTGTGTGATTGCATGTTATTTGTTATTTGATTCATATCTTTAGTAGCTTTTTTTATATTGTTAATTGCATGATTATATATTTATTGCAAGTTTTATATTGTTAATTGCAATGATAATATATTTGCATGATTTATATTGTTAATTGCATGATTATATATATTTGCATGATTTATATTGTTAATTGCATTATTATATATTTATTTGGTGATTTTTATTGTTAATTTCATGATTATACATTTAATTGCATGTCTATTTGCATGATTATTAATTTATTTATTTGTGTGATTGTATGATTATTAATATATTTATTTCCATGATTATTATTATTATTGCATGATTTTATATTTATTGCATAATATGATATTGTATTAATTTTAAAATGATATCTAATTGCATATTTTTATATTACTAACATATTTGTGAGATTATATTTGATTTGCATATTTATATTATTGTTATTATTGCATGATAATTAATATATTTGCATCAAATTCTTGCATGAATATTTAGCATGATCTAGGCATGATATTATTACATGCTATGATATGATTTATAATATAATTGCATGATAATTTTGTTGGTAATGATTTAATATTTATTATATGATTGCCTAATATTTGAAAAGAATTTTGCCATCCATGTTTTGTAAATAAATAAAAGGATTAGAATTTATTTATTTGGATGATAAAAAACCCCATATTTGATTAAGGCTTAGATAAGATAACACATGATTAATGTGGTACTAATTTAGGCATAAAAGGGTGCTAAATACCTTCTTTACATGTAAATCGAACTCTCGAACTTTAATTTTGATAATGTAAGACCTAGAATCTATTCTTTTAGGGATCTTAATTTACATGTAGGACAACCTTAAAGAGGAATATATGTCCACATTGGTGCCAATCAAATATAAATAAAAAGATTGGTAGGCAACTCCAATAGTTTTTATGTTTAATGGGATGGATTCTCCCAACCTAAACCAATATCAATAGAAAACTTTTTTTTATTTTTTTTAATTGAATGACATACAAAACAACAAATTAGTTGCAAAGATTGATTTAACGAATTCAAGTACTACTCTTAACTTCATATACCAATAAATCATGATTATAAGAATTAAAAATTAAAAAATGTATTGCAATATTCATTAAAATAAAAAAAAAATGACTTCCTTGAAAAAAATCACTTTCTATTATATAAAATTGTTTGAAAAAATGATTTGAAGAACTATTACTTGTTACATAAAAAATAAACATATATTCTAGCCCAAACTGATTTAAAAAAGTTACTTGTAGAATCTAAGATTTAAAAATTTATGAACTCTAATCACTGAGATAATTTGAAAACAACGTTAACCAATATATATATATGGCATGAGATTTAATTATTTATAAACTCTAATTAACTTTATCTGATAAATTAACCTTAAAGAATCATTATTTAAAAATTATAATCTAATTATAATAATTTATTATCATTAAAACCCTTTTTCTATCTACAAAATTAATTTCATTACTAAAATTTAAAATTATAACACAAGAAATTAATTTAAAATGAAAAATGAAAAATTTAATGAATAATGTATGTTTTTTCAATTTAAAAGTTTTTTGTGTCTATGTTTATAAATAATAATAAAAAACAAAAAAAAAATACAATCCAATCT